ACATGGCATAGGACCAGGTTACCTAAGGGACCGCCTCTCCCCTATGACTTCAACCTGTCCCTTCCAATCACACAGAGAGGGCATGCTTTGAACCCCCTCAGTAAAAGAACTTCGATTAGCAGGGTCCAGAAGGCGGGCCTTCTCTACGATAGCCCCCACTCTTTGGAACATTCTGACCCCGGAGGTGCGATTGGCCCCCTCACTCCTGGCCTTCTGTAGGGCTTTGAAGACCTGGCTCTGCCGCTTGGCCTGGGGTGGGGAGGGAATACCTCAAGCATGGGGATGGCTAGCCCCATAGACGCCTCCTGTCTTCAGCCTCAGATTTGTCATCTTCTTGGACTCTCCTTCCCCTTTTTTAGTAATGCTTTTAACTGATGTTTTATGTATTTATACATATTTATGTTTTTAATGTTTGTTGTGAGTCGCCCAGTGTTCCCCCATCAGGGGGAGATGGGTGGGTGAGAAATTTAATAAATAATAAATAAATCTGCAGGATGTCAGCCTTAAGCTATTAGCCCAAACCCTTACTGGAATACCATTAATCTGGTGTGCTCAAGATTGGATTGCTAGTTTTAAATAAACACTGAGAATTGCTGATGATGCCTCCAGTTTACAAGGAAGCAATTGAGTAATACCTATTTTCAGTACAGTAATGGATAGTATGTTGGATTTAAACTGGAGAAGCCTGGGCTCAATCTCTAGTCAGCTTCGATTCCTAACAGTCTTGGCCCAGTTAGTGTATTTCAGCATAAGCTACTATTCAGGATGGTTAGAATAGAATGGGTGGGGAATTTCCTTGGAGGAAACAAGCATTAACAATATATAGCTGCATACAAACTTTAGGCACCCTGGTCAAATTTTATGTTTCAACGAATTTCTAAGTGAACAGAAGCTGACAACAGAGCCTATATATGGGACAAAACTAAACACATCTTCTTGCAAGTTTGAATGCATACTTAACTTTTATATGCAGCTGTTTACACATTCAAAGTAAGAAAACAATGGATATGGCTGGTGCAGAAGTTTGGATGCCCTCTCACCTGATACTTTGTAACACTACCTTCAGCAAAAATAACCAGTTCCAGTCATTTCCTGTAGCCAGCTAAGAATATTTCTATTCTTGTTTTTGAAATGTTTTACCACTGTTCCTTGCAAAATACTTCTAGTTTAGAAATCTTCTTAGGTCTTCTTGTGTGCACAGTTCTCTGCCAATTTTCGGTGTTCAAATCTGGGGATTGTGAAGGCCATTTCAAAGCCATTCCTCTTTTCTGAAATCACTTCATGGTCAATTTGGCAGTAAGTTTCTAATTGTTGTCTTACTGAAATATTCAGTCTCTCTTTCTGGGGATTGTGAAGGCCATTTCAAAGCCATTCCTCTTCCTTTTCTGAAGCCATTCCTCTTCCTTTTCTGAAATAACTTCATGGTCAATTTGGCAGTAAGTTTCTAATTGTTGTCTTACTGAAATATTCAATCTCTCTTTGACTTCAATACCTTCTCTGTCACATTTACTGTTTTCATATTTTAATTCTGTAAGAAACTGCACATTAAGAGGAAGTATGCATTCACACTTGTGTCAGCTTCTGTTCACATACAATTTGACCTGGGATGCTTAAGTCTTTTCATGCAATGGTACAGGTAGTCCTCGACTTACAACCACAATTAGGACCGGAATTTATGTCACTAAGCGATGTGGTCGTAAAGCGAGATGTCATGTGACCACATTGCTTAGTGATTGCAATCCCAGCAGTCCTGGTTGCCATCATTAACCAAGAATTGCGGGTAGTTCGCTGAGGACCCACCCCAGTCCAAGCTATTCCAGGCTTGGTCCCTCCCAGCCTTGAGCCCCAGGTAAGGGACTGCCTCCAATTCCCCCCACCTGCCTATTCCCCCCCATCTCTGCCCCTTTTGGCTGCCCTGCACCCTGTCTTGCATGGTTCTGGGCCTGCTTGCTGCCCCACAAGATAGGGTGCAGGATGGCCAAAAGGGGGGGAGATAGGCAGGTGGGGGTAGTTAAAGTGCCCGTGCAGTTCTAAGTGTGGGCAGGCTGCCAAGCACCCAACTTTTGATCACATGACTGAGGGGGGTGCTGCAATGGTGTAACTTCAGACATGGGTCGCAAGTCCATTCAGCACTGTCATAACTTCGAACGGTTGCTGAACAAATGGTCATAAGCCAAGGACTACCAGTAATAGTTTTCCTAGAATTTTTCAGTTTATGGTTTTCTACTCAGTGGAAATGTTTTACAGAAAATTCTCAGTTAACATCCAGAAATGTTGTCATGAGGACCAATAATACATTGTTTACACCTGCGGTATAAGCAGAAAGAAAATGTGACTTCTCTGCTTTCTCTTTTCCAGTCCAGAAGCCCTTGAAACCCATGGTTCATTTACTTGGCTTGGGCAAACACAATACAAGCTTCAGCTAAAAGCTCACGAAATATCTAGCCTGCAGTTAAAGGCCTGCTTTGTTCATACTGGAGTGTATAATCTTGGAACCCCACGAATATTTGCTAAGCTTTCAAATCAGGTTACTTTATTTGAAACAAGTCAACAGAATTCAGTGCCAGCCCTCATTATTATCAACGGTATTTGACTTATGGTTTGTTTTAAAAACAAAACAAAAAAGTACTGTTATTTCTTTGAAACTGCAACCTTGGCATATAACCTGTTAAAAAGTTGTAGATAAAACTCTCACATAATATGATTACATGCCTATTTCTGTTTCTGAATACCAGGCATATTGGATTCCAGTTTCTTTCTTTTTAAAAATGTTTCATAAGTTAAATGGAAATAACCACATAACTTTTAAGACTCTTCATAACAAAACTGGGAAATCCTTGGACACCTTTACTGCTGAGAAAAAATTTACAGCATGTGTTAATATTTGTGGCTGTATTAGATGGCAATTTAGGAAAAAGTTCCTTGTTGGCTTTTTTTGGTTAAGCCATAGATTGATAATTATATCATGTTGTTTCTGTGAAGTTAGTAGGATCCAATTTTTTTCCAGTCCAATTCTTCTTTTTTTCATTTTCACTTTTTAAAAAGGTGAATTTGAGACTTTCCTCATATACTGATAAGCAATTCTCATTGCAATTGCGTATATAAGTCCACTTAATATTCTACAATTTTGAAAGCAGTTTGAATATTTTCTCATTCATCTCAGTACAAAATGCACTGTTTCAAACAAAGAAATGTTTTGTCATTTAAGTTCATTCACTTTATTATGTAACTAGAGCAATTCAGTTGATCTGTTTTTTTAAAGAAAGTTAAGCTTTTCAAGAAATGTATTATATTTATAACAAATGTGCTGTAAATAAAATAAAATGTGCATCATATTCACTACACTCCCCACACTTTTTTTTTTTTTTTTACTCTGTGAAATGAAGGTATTAGGATGTTCAAACATTTTCTGTACAGAATAACTTATTTCAGTGATCAGTGTCCAACCTGAAACACATATACTTATAAGTTCAGGTTTTGAGGTGGGGAAAGTGGGGAAAAAAATAATGCCACTGTCAGCCATTAAAAAGGAAGTAGAAATAAAATTATAACATTTACCTAAGTTATGAACATAAACTTGTGATTGCAGTGTGTTATTCCCACTTGGTACCTACCAGGCTCTCTTTGCTACCTGATTTTTTTTTTTAATTCTCTTAACAAAGAAACTAGCATGCTGCAACACAAAGCATTAGGCTCTAGCAACTACCACCAATTTTGTAATAGGATTGTGTGTGTGCAAGCCACAACAGCTGGATCAACATAGGGGCCTAATTAGGATACCTTCTTAGGTTCACACAGATCTTAATACAGACGGCTTCTCTGCACCATAGATGTGTGTGCATAAACCTTTGTAGTGTTGGGCCACCATTCCCTCCTAATGAACGTTTGGAAGAGGAAGCATATGCCTATAGAAATTCATATCCAACCATAATGAAGTTGAAAGTATTTGAAATTCAGATATGCCTGGAATATGGCTACATGTTTACAGAAAGCTACTAATTATTTACTGTATAGAATTAGAAAAATACCCAAACTTCTCATCTTCAATTATTACCAATAGGCCTGAAGAGAGATGGTTATTCCTATCACCATTAATGTAATAAATACTCTTGAAAATAATTTGATGAAGTGAGAGAAAGACACATACATACATGCATACATATAAACTTACCATTAATTACAGTATATTCCTATTTCAAAGCCAGTGACCAAAACAAAAAATCCTAGTCAGTATAATTAAACCCACATTTATTGTTCTACATGGTGGTGAAATGCTATGACTAAACTTATTTCATTCTTGCATTCTCCTGCAGTAATTTAGGAAAATAATAAACCATTAGAATTGTACCAAATATGAGAACAAGAAAACTAATCAGTGCTTTTCCAGCATTGACCTCAGATTTTGGGAGTGCTCCGTGAACATACACACTGACAATTGTGCTAAGGTTACAGTAGCTATATAAGCTATCTACAACAATAACTCTGAAGACATAAAAGCCATTGTACTGTGGAAAAAGTATTCTATTTCTTTCATTCCTGTTTAAAACTTGGTACTTTGAAGAAAGTGATGGTAAAGTTTTGTTTCCTCTGGGCTTCTTGCAACTCACATAATTATATCTAGACCATGCCATTTCTGGTATTGCATCAGGCTCTTGTAATAGTTTGGTCCAGTTCTGGGCCTCTGACAAACAATTGGCCTCTGCTTCAGTCAAGAGATAATCGTAATTGTGCATTCCATTGATTTCATACAGTACAAAATCAGCAGAAACGTATTCCAGAAATTTATCATTGTCCCATAGTTCAATATCTGGAAGCCACGGTTTATTGTAATATAAGAGAAGAGGACATCCCCAAGAGAGATAGTTATAGGTCACATTAAGATCTTCCTGTTCTAAATTTTTTCTGCCAAAGAATAAGGGATCGTATAGTTTCTTATCAATTGAATAAACAAAATTCTGTAGTAGTCTTGGCTCAAAGAGACCTTTGCTGCAAGCTGTTGTAGTCATTAAAATTCTGATGTGTTTCTTAGGTGGACACTCCACTGCAATAAGAGCTGTCAATGGATGCATGTCAATGCAGAATATCCCTTTGTTGTAGATGTCCACAGTAACAGATGATATCTTCCTTAAGAGTGATGTAGTCTGTGTTTCTTGAATCATACTTGCTAATTGTTGCTCTTGTAATTGAATTTGCAAGCTGTATTTAGTGTTTCCATCAAAGGTATAGCCATCCTCCACAATGTGTGCCTCGAATGCCAGCACATGTGGATTGCTCAGAGTTACATATGGATAGGCACCAGTTCCTGGCTTCGGTACAAATGTGGCATTAAAATGAAGAAGCTGCTTTGTATCAATATAATACATCCTGTTATGGAAATCACCAGTGAGGATCTCCATTGGACAGGATTGCAATGGTGGCTGCACACTCATCAGCCTAGCCTGGATGTTGATGATGCATTTATGAAAATGATAATATTCAGATATATTGCTGGGAAATGGACGGATGATGCTAAGCGTTCCAGTATTTTCAAATAACATAGCTTCACAAGAGTCATGGGATAAGGAAATGTTTTTTTCCCCAAGATGTACCATTTGGCTAGAGACCATGTCCAGGTTTCCGTAGAAAAGCTGAGACTTGGTGAGGGCCGCAATCTCATTGTAGGTGGCAGCTATAAAGCAAATATCTCTTGGGAGAGAGTTATTAGGATAGCTGTTTGTGGGAAGTACAGTAACAATATCTGTTGTCAGTCCATCATTTGAGGAGCTCATAAATGCTTCCTTGGTCCATATTATGATAAAACCTCTCATGCCAGGGGGAAGTATGCTTTCAACTCTCTGATCTTTTGGGAAGTCTAAGTTAAAGGGTGTTCCTGTTCCATTTTTCATGGATTCAACATCTCCATATGTGAAGTATGCAATTTTGGAATGACTGGCATCGTTGAGGAGCATTCCGATATCTGCTGAGGAAGCAAAAACATAGACCCCATGTAGAATGCCATCCCTCAGTGGCCTACTTTTTAAAGGTGCAAATGTGTAGGCCCCGTCTTCTGAATAAAAGATTTCACTGTTGCTAGCCAAATTGCCCGTGTCAAATGCCAGAACGAGTTTATTGATCTTGTCACAGGCAGGATCTTCTAGAGCAAAACAGCAGTCGTAGCTGGCAAGTTCAGTAACTGGACTAGTAATCCCCTTTGACTGCACCCATGCCTTCCATGTCCTGTAGAGATAGATAAAGACGTTTCCATTCACTACTAGCACAATATGAGATGTCTGCACAAATACAGCAGCGCTAACAATGGCAGGTGGATTTGTATGACTGCTGGGGATGGTTAGAGGAAGAATGGTGCTCTCAAACAAATCATCACTGATGAATAATCTTTCACCAAGGTAAACAGCTGGGGAAATACCACTGAAAAATTGATTTCCACATGGGTGGTGTAATATAAGAGGGTAATTGTGGCTGAAATTAAGCAGCAAACCTGTTAGTGGCGGGACCAAATGGTGAGGAACTGAATAAATCACTTGCTCGTAGCTGCATGGCCAGGAGTCAGCCGCCATAATTGGGCACAGCCAAAATTTCACTAACAGGGACAATAACATGGTGTTGCTCCTTTAGTCAGTTTGAACGTAATGCACAAGGGCATAATGTCACTTCCATTGTTTCCGTTGAGGTTCCATTTGCAACGGTTGCTCTGGGAGGTGGTTCTAGAAGGCAGTTGGCAGACTATGGCTCTGAGGGGGAGGGGTACCAAAAAGAGGCCTGCAATTCTCTTGGGCAAAATGGCAGCCTTGTGGTGCTAAATGTGCTCTTACTGGAGATAAGGAGTCTTTTATAATATTAAGATTTTAAAGATACATATTTAAAAGTTAGAAATGAAAAAATTTGAAATACCAAATATAAAGAAAAGGAAAAGAAAAGGTGAGGTAAAGTAAAAGAAAAAAGATATGAAAGATAGATAACTTCCAATCTATCTCTGGTCTTAGAAATAATAAGGCTATCAGATAAGGAGTCATCCTTCGCCGAATAGCCTCCAAGACATTTTGCCTCAGAATCCACAGTCTTTGATCAGGCTGGCTGAGAATTATAGAGATGGTCATACAGTATTGGAAGGGATCAGTTGTGGAAGGGTTCTGCATATCTCCATCAAGGTCATCTCCCTTACTCTCTACAAGTTTGCACATGAACAGGCAATCTGCTGTCCCCATTACCAATCCCTATCCTGCTTCTACTGCATCAATCTAAGCCACTGCTGAATGGTGTTGCTCTGATATGTGAGTGTATCACTTGTTATAGGCATGGCATTTTCTTCTCTGGCTTTGCTGCTATCTTCCTTTGGCATGCCATTAGCCAAACAGGGACGATATCATTCAGAGGACTGTAGCAGAATAGCTAGGCTCTGACTTCAGGACTTTCCCTATCTTCTTTAGCCAGGTTTCTATGTTGCTGCTCTTCCCCCACTCCAAAAAAATTGGCCTCTACTTCAGTGAAGAGACAGTCATGCTTTTGTATTGCTTTCATTCCAAGCGGTACAAAAGTAGCAGGAATGTATGCCACAAATTTGCCATTATTGCTTAAGAATTCAAGTACTGGAATCCATGTTTTGTCATAATGCAAGAGAAGAGGATATACCCCAAAATCATGATAGGTTGGACTGCTATTGTAGAAACAGTCTGCTCTTGTGATCCAAGCAAGTTGAAACCCTTGCCCCCATTTTTCTTCCATGGTCCCTTCCATGATAGCCAATTCTCTATCCCTTTAACATTCTTCATGAATAGAAATAAATTCTCACCTTCAGATAGATGCTGCATGCCTCCTCTTGCAGGATCAGCTGTTACAAATAGAATTTGTAGAATCTGACTAAATATGTTTTTAGCCAGTTGGTATCTCAATTGGAAGAAAAACATGTATATCCTGTGCTGCTGATGTTTTCTGACCAGTTCTCTTTCATTTTGTAGTTTTATCCTTTTTTTTTCCTTTTCAGGATTTTCTTTTATTTCTCTCTTTATTTTTCTCTTTTATTTGTATTATATTTGTGTTTTAGTGTGTGTGTGTGCGCAGACATGACTCCATTGACTTTTTTTACTTTTTCAACATACAGATATTTGATCTTTTTTTCAACAATATTGATAGATAAAGGGCATATAATATAACAAATATCAAACATCATTTACATTTTGTAGTCCATTGCCTAATTTAAATAAACACAAATTCAAATTTCAAATGTAGAAAAAGTTAGTGTACTTCTACATGTATCACTACCTCAAATACCTAAAATTAGAATTAGGTGCACCAGATCAGGTACAATTGATTAGAATATTGTTAGAGAACATCTGGGAGGAACTTGTCTTATTGAAACCTCAGACATTTAGTTTGATTTGCTCTCTCTTGTTGAAGGGGATGGTGTCACCATACCTAGATTGAAAGAGCTTCCTGAGGCCTTCAGAAAGAAGGTTATAGATGCCTAGGAGTCTGGGAAGGGCTTTAAAAAGATCGTCAAACAATTGGAGATCGATTATTCCACTGTCTGGAAGATCATCTACAAGTGGAGAAAATTTCAAACAACTGCCAAGTTGCCCAGCCCAGGCATGCAAGATGCTGAAAGAAGTGTCTAAGAACCCCAGAATTTCATCAGTGACCTACAGGTAGCTCTCACCACTACCAATGTCAAGGTGCATGAGTCTACCATTAGAAACTGCACAAATTATATAAAAATGATGGTTAACTTATCAGGAATTATTAATACAAGATAAGGAAGAAATGAAGATGAAGACAGAACAGTGACAGAAGGACATTCTTTTCAATGGTTTTCTTATATCAGATGAAAGAGAGGTTTAATATGGACAAAAAAAGGACAGTTGGAATTGAGAAGAAAACCGGATTTGAAATAGTTATGTACAAATGATGATCACATAACAGCTAAAATGTAGAAATCATTTCTAAGGTTTGAGCAGGATAAACAGGTTAAAGACTGTATGGTGAAATGGGCTGCAAACTTTGATTATAATATAACTATGGATATATGGGAGAAAATGTGGGAAACTGGTGTTAAATTTACATTGTGTCATAATTAAAGAGAAAAAATTTATAAAATGATATACCAATGGTATATGACATGGGCTAAATTGTCTAAAATATATAAAGGAATATCAAGTGTTGGAAGTGTTGGAAGTGTGAAAAGGAAGAGGGGACTTCTGATCATGCATGGTGGACTTGTGAAAAAGCAAAGGAATTTTGTGTGCAAATTCATACAATGATGTAAAATATACTGTGGATTAATATTATGATGAAACTAGGATTATTTTTATTGGGCTTCATGGATCCTGAACTAGAAAAGAAATATGGGAAACTAATATTGTATATGGTAACTGTGGCAAAATTATTGTATGCACAAAGATGGAAGAATAATGAAATACCCACCATGGAGGACTGGATTATAAAATTGACAGAGCTTGTGGAAATGGCAAAGCTGACCAGTTTGGTCAGGGAAAAAATGATTAAGACTTTTTAAAAGAGTGGAAACCTCATATGGATTTTTTTGCTGAAAGCAGAAAAGACAGAACTAAAGATGTATAGGTTTGGGGATTACAAAAGGTTAAAGAGGGAAGAGAAAGCGTAAGATAGCAATTACTTGATAGAAAGAAGGGAGGAAGTCAAAATTCTATCCTTTTTTTTTTTTTACTTCTTTCCTAATTCTTTTCTAATTTTCTTTTTTATTTTTCTTTTCATTTTTATACTTTTATTGTATTGTAAAACTCTAATAAAATATTTTTTAAATGAATTCTTCATTGTATCAGAGGATGCTTGAGGATAATGTGAGACAATCTGTCAGAAGACTGAAGCGGAACCAAAAGTGGACCTCGCAATATGACAATTACCATAAACATTCCAGTAAATCCGCCAAGAAATGGTTGGAAGAAAAGAAAAAAGAAAAGAAAAAAAGAGAGGAGAGGAGAGGAAGAAAGGAAAGGAAAGGAAAGGAAAGGAAAGGAAAGGAAAGGAAAGGAAAGGAAAGGAAAGGAAAATGGAGGGTTCTGGAATGGCCAAGTCAAAGCTCAGATCTAAATCCCATGGGGGTGCTGTGGGGTGATTTGAAATGGGTTGTGCATGCAAGAAACCGCTCAAATATTGCACAGCTGAAAAAATTCTGCCCAGAGCAGTGGGAAAAGTTCCTCCCAGTTGATGTTAGAGACTGGTAGACAGCTATAAGAAATGCTTACTTGAGGTTGTTTCTGTAAAGGAGGCAATACCTGGTATTAGAACCAAGGGTGTACTTACTGTGTCCACAAAAGGAAATGGCATGTTTGTTAATTTTTTGTTGAATAAATGATGGCAAAGTCAATTTTTCATAGTTTTTAAATTTTAATTATATCACCTTTATCTTTATATACTTTGAGTGAATGTAAAATATTGATTACTGATTTACCATTTAAGCAATGACAGAAGGATATAACTAAATTTATCTGGCAAGATAAAAAACTGTGAATTCAATATAAGGTGTTGCAAGATGCTAAAGAAAGAGGAGCCTTGCCTGATTTCAAATTGTAGTTTGCCACTTGTTTAGTTTGGTTGAAAGAATGGGTGTTGCTGAGAAATAGCAGATTATTGAATTTGGAAGAACATGAATTGAGATTTGAGTGTCACAGCTATTTATGGTATGATAAAGTTAAGGTTAATGTAGATTTAAGAATCACTTTATTAGACATGCCATTCTGAGAATTTGGAATAGATATAAACCTAGATGGTGTCCAAAAATACCCCTATGATTATCTCCACAAGAAGCATTTTATAGGAAAGCAATGACAGAAGGATATAACTAAATTTATCTGGCAAAATAAGAAATGGTTAACTTATGGCAATATTCTTGATATTCACCAAGGAGAAATTAAAATAAAATCAAGAGAGGATTTGACTTACTGATTTACCATTTAAGCAATGACAGAAGGATATAACTAAATTTATCTGGCAAAATAAGAAATGGTTAACTTATGGCAATATTCTTGATATTCACCAAGGAGAAATTAAAATAAAATCAAGAGAGGATTTGACATCACAAGGACATTCATGCACTCGTTTTCATATGTACAGCTTGGAGAAAGATTCAAAGTTGAGAAAAGACATGGTTTTGAAGGAAACAAAGCTGTTTTTGAAACTGAATTGTGTACTAAT